CTCCTCCTCCTCCTCCTCCTCCTACCTCCTCCTCCTCCTCCTCCTCCTCCTCCTCCTCCTCCTCCTCCTACCTCGCAGTAAACGGTCTGCTCATGCTCGAGGCATCTAGCAGCGAGGATGAGTGACATGGAGGTGAGGCAACCAACACTGACAGTACGCAGAGCAAGCTCTCTTCCTCCATCCTCTTGCGGTATTCCTCCTCCTGACGCTGCGATCCTGCGCCTCATCAGCACCTCCGACCTGCACGGCTAGGGGATACGAGGATCTCGATCTCTCTGAGGCGCTGGAGCACGCCGTCTCCTATACTGCACCATGTCCTCCTGCTCCTGCTGCTTGCAAGGGATGAGAACGAGGTCAGGGAGGGTCGCCATGTGACGAACCTCCTGCTCTGCGTCCGACTTGTCTGAATCCTGCGGGGAATCATGAAGAAGAGCTCCAGCAAGCTTGCTCCCCTCACATTCTCTGCGTTGCTCGTCTTGGCCTCGTGATCATCGTCCTCTTCCTCCTCCAGGTCATCATCTTCGCTGGCTGGAGGATCGGTCAGGTGCGAGGAGCAAGGGACGTCAAGCTGGACTCGCCGCCATGTCCTGCCATTGGCCTGCAACTGAAGTAGAAGCGCAGGACCCCCTGATTGCTCCATCAGCATCACAACACGATCAAGCGAAAACTTTGAGTCGATCATCATCTCAACCATTATCTCAACCATCATCTCAACACTCATCTCAACCATCATCAGCCTCCATCGTCACTGCGATCACTAGCATCATCTCCTCATCAACCGTTTCAACGTCCTAGCAAAACTTACAGACTTGAAAGTTCCCTCGGACAGCTTCAGCTTCATCTTCTTGGTGGTTTCTGAATCGCTCTCGATGTCAACATGCTCTTTCAATCGCTGTCAACATCCTGCCAGCATGCCCGACAGGCGCTACCTGAGAGGTCCAACTGCAGCGAACCCAACACTTCGTGCTTCTTGTTGCTCATGTGCCGTTCCACCGACAGGATGAGGGGCTTCTCGAGGAACCTCTCCTCCTTCTCATCCCAGAAGAGCGTCGCATTGATGACCATCCTTCCACTTCCTCACAGTCAGGTCTCAACCTGTAGGCAAACAGCACAGCTCTCACGTCTCTCCTGGCCATGTGACCTTGTTGTTTTCCTCCCATTGCACTTTAGACCTGTGTGGTTCAAACCTTACATGATCTCGCTGAGAGGCGCATGCCATCCTACTTTCCAGACTTTCTTCCGCGGATCCACCGCACAAAGATGGGCATGGTGAAGCAGTTGACGTCTAAAGGTCTTCAGGAACAAATACAAGTAGCGCATCGCTGGACCTTGAAGGGAGTGCAGTTGGATCGTGAAGCGAAAAGAATGAGGGATCGCGCCCTTGTGCCCGACCTTTCTGAACCATCTGCTCACACGCTCATTTAAGAATCGAGGCTGTGATTGAACCCTCTGCCTCCTCCTTCCGAGCTCGCTTGCCTACGTCATCACTAACTTCTAGACTCTCAGCAGCTCGACCCTCGTCTCCTCTCTCTTCCTCCTTCAAACGCTGCAGGCGAGTACGTACAGTTATACTCTCCTCCTCCTCCTCCCACTCTCCTCCTACACCTCCCACTCTCCTCCTCCTCCTCCTCCCACGCCATTCCCTCCCGTTGTTACCTTCGCATTGCGCCCAATGACCAATCACAATGTCGGGTTGTAGCACCGTTATCATCCGTTACGTGTCAGTTGCAGCCAATGTCCGACAAGGTGACGGTCACGGCGAGGATGGAGATGGAGGGGAAGGGCGTGCGGGCGCTGGAGGAGTGGATAGGACACGTGGGACCTGAGCCTCCTGAGCTGCTTCCTCCCCCTTAGCTGAGCCCGCAGGCCATCGACCGCGTGCACGGGCGGGTCAACGACGAGTCCCTCCTCTACGCGGCGTCCCGGGACGGCTTCTCCAACCAGACTTTCCACGCCAAGTGCGACGGGAAGTCTCCGACCGTCGTCATCGTGCAGCTCTATGACGGCAGGTGACCCGCTGTCCTCACTAGAGCTCATGGCAGCGTGACGCGCGTTCAGAGTGTTCGGAGGGTATACCAGGATACCATGGGCCTCTAAAGGAGGGGCTCAAGCAGACCCAGCAGCCTTCCTGTTCTCCTTGTCTGATGGGGGAGACAGAGCGCCATGTCGCCTCGAGCAGTCAGACGCTCTGCTGCGCTGCTCCTGCTCCTCACGTCCCTCGTTGCAGGCATCGCAACTTCGAGTACGCCGTTCACCACCATGCGGACAGAGGGCCCTTGTTTGGCGTTGGCGCAGGAGCAGACCTCGGATTGAACCTCGACCACGTGAGTGATGACCCGTGCTCCTGCTCCTGCTGCTTCTCCTGTCTGTGCTCCTCCTCCTCCTCCTCCTCCTCCTCCTTCGCCCTTTTTTCTCTCAAGATGTGTGACGATCTGTGCATGTCGTGACACAGCGCAAGGCGACCCTCGCAGGATCCCAGCAGGACGACTCCAGGTTCCCAGGGACAGAACTCCATCTGCCGCACGCTGTCGCCCTCCAAGAACGGATTCAAGGCCGTGAGGCATGCCGGAGCAAGCAAGCTGCGCTCCCTCGCTGCTTCCATCTCCACGTCCTTCCACTCCTCGAACGTCAGACCATCAGGAGGCACGTCCCTTCTCAGCAGCTCCAGGGAAGGATGTCGATCCGCTGCTCTTGCCCGGAGCTCGGTGGTGCGCACGCAGAACTCGGAGGTGGAGGCGAGGCGATCGTCGAAACCTCGAGGAAGGAGAGGCGTGACGTAAGCAGGCAACGAGAAGCCTCTCAGCACCGAGTCGTTGAGAGTGTCTACGAAGACTGCTGCCCCTCTCCTCCTCCCTCCTCCCATCAATCCAGTCCGAAACACCGGCTGATGCTCCGAGACAGGAAACCCCTCTATGTACATGGGCCCCCAGGGTCTGTCCTCTCCGTCCCGCCGCCCTCCTCTCAGCTCTTCCTCTGCTCCTCGTACTCGGCTGACGAGGCCGAGCTGGAGGAGCCAGCGGGGATGACTGACGGCCTTCAGTCGGAGGTCATCGACAAGGTCGCAGGAGGAAACCTCGAGGTCGATGCTGAAGTCCATGGTGCCCGGGACGTTGAGGGAGACGTTGTGGGCGGGGGTCACGAAATCCTCCCAGCCATCCTCCCCGCCCCCCCTAGCGAGCGCGAGGTACTCGTAGGGAGCGTCTCCCGCGTCGAGCAGGTGAAGCAAAACATCGCCATCGACCAGACAGGCGTCGAAGAAGGAGGAGGAGGCTGCGATGTCAATGGCGTTCACCTTGATGACGTGGCGAAGCTCGAGGGGTCCATGGACGTGCTGGGCTCCTCGCTCAGGCATGTCGAAGCATGGGACGTACAGCCTCAGGCTCTGACTCGCGGGTAGTTGAGCTGGTAGAGAAGCTGAGAAGCTCCGAACCACCTTGTTAAACTTGCTCGTCTTGACGATGAACGAGGTCAAGGCCTGACCGCAATACACTCCCTTCCTGCAACTCACAGCGCCTTGACGACCAACCAGAACCACTCTCAGTGAAATGCTCTCCTCTTCCTCCCCTTCCTCCTCCTCCTCCTCGCCAGCTTTCACGCTTTCTGAGAAATCAACGAAGTCCTCCAGGTGCCGAAAAAGCTTGAGGTACACCATCGGGCAAGGGACCAAACCAAGTGAGGAAAGTTGGGGATCCGCCCTAGCCTCCGATGACTCGCCACTGCAAGGCAGACAAACTCTCAGTCTCGCTGACCCACCGCACAACATCAACTCCCACCTGCTCCTCCTTCCTCCCTGTCTCGCTCTCCTCCAGGCCTCCCCATCAGCTCCCCGCACGTGCAAGAGCTTCATGCTTGCAGCACGTCCTTCTATCCATGCGGATGCTAAAGGCCAGCTGCCGTCGGGGTCGACAAGCTCGTGTGCTCGTCCGACGAGGGAGGAGATGGTCCCATCTGATCGACATGGCAGGGGAAACCAAGCGCCTTCCCAGCTCACACGTATCCAGAGAGAATCTTGATGCTCGTGGAGGAATCCATGGCGTACAGACCGAACTATGCTCCTCCAGTCGGGAAGATGGTGGAATACGGTTCTGCACGGAACCATGAAGCCGAGGATCATTCGCCAGAGGTTGCGATCCGTCATGTCCTTCTGCATGCTCCTGCAGGAACATGCAATTCGACCGATGCAAGGCAGAGACAGCCACTGGACCAGGCGCAAGAGCAGGTCGTGAGGTAGAAGGATGAGAGAGAAAGAACAAGTTCTAACTTGTCCATCCTCCTCTTCTCCGAGCGATCCCATAGCGCTCATGCTGTTACTTCCGCTTGCAGTTTTTCGACCTTTGCCCGCGTCACATCCTGCGGTCCCTTGTTAGACATTGATACTCTCTCACTTTGTAAAACTTTGATCGAAACTTTCTTCCTCTGTACTCCTTCCATCGACTTCCTCTCCCCTCCCCTCCTGTCATGTCCTCCCGTCTCGTCGTCTCGTCGTCTCCTCCCCTCCCCTCCCCTCCCCTCCTCCCCTCCCCTCCGTGCAAAATTTTCTCGCTGGCACATTTTGCCCCATTTTGTATCTGAGGCGAGCTCGGGATACGAAAAGCGCGACCTCCTCCTCCTCCTCCTACGGGAGGTTCGGGGACTGCAGCAGTCAATGCCTCCAAGTTGACCTCGACTGCGCAGGCGGCGAAAGCTGAATCTGCCCGCATCAAGTTGGCGCAAGTTGGGCAGGTTGAAGCGATCCGTAAAGGGATCGAGGCAGAGCTGAGTCAGGCGAAGAGCAACGAGGCCGCGATGAAGAACCAGTTGGAGAAGGAGACGAATGAGCTGAAGGAGACGATTGCGCGGCTGGAGCGGGAGAAGAAGAGTCTGGAGGAGACGCTGGAAGTGGAGAGGCAGGTCCGAGGCGAGAAGATCATCAACCTTGCTCCTGAGAGCTTCGACACTTTCATTCAAGCCTCAGACCGACCGGGTAAGACCGTCCTGTTCACGAAAAGAGAGGATACTCCGGAGCTATGGACGCAGCTGGCGGAGAAGAACTCCTACATCTGCTCCTTTGGTCTAATCCGCCATACCTCTCAGGCGCTCTTGTCCAGATGCTCCGTTCGCGCCGAAACCTTCCTCGGATCCTTTTCTACACCAACAACGTCAGTCACCCGGTC